CCAAACTTGAAGAAGCTTCGTACTTTTTTTCTGTTTAGAATTCGTAAGCAGTGGCAAACCAATTCCAATTTCGCAATCTTCGAGGCTGTTTCCACTAAACCACAAAAGCGACGCCGTATCGGCTTTCTCTTCCATTTCGATTTCGTGAACCGGTTAATCATTTCTGATTGGATTCAACTCTTCTTTGGTTCCACCCGGTTCAGAAGAATTGAGAAACGACATCGGTTGGGTTTCGTTTCCATGACCGCCACTTCTTCGATTTCGTGAACCGGTTTAACATCTCTGATTAAATTCGTTTCCGGTTCGGTTCTCTTTTTGATTTCTGTGGGGAGGATTTTGCCGTCGTGGAAGAATTCTTCGGCGGATAAAACGTTTTCGCCGGAGACTACGTCGCCGGGAACGGAGAAATCGAAATCCGACGGAGATTGTAATGGACTTTGCTCGATTGGTATGGAATCAGAGTGAAGAAAATCGTGAGAAAATGAGATTCTTGGACTGTGACTGGAATTTTCCAGCATTGTTATAAGTTTTCTCGAGAAAATATTGGATGGTTTATTAGAGGAGAATGGGATGGGAAAAAACTGCTTTTTATATTTAAGGATTATGTATATAGGAGAATTAAATGAACAACTTTGTTATTTTCAAATGTTTAGTTAAAGTTTGGTTTATATTTGATTTTACTGAATTCAAGTACAAATGCATTTTGAATTTAACAAAAAAAAAATGTCGGTTCATAATAATATGATCTATTTTTCTCTCTACCACATCGTTTATACTTTTAAATTGTAGAACTACACAAGATTTAAATTTCGCAATTTCTCCCTTGATTATAATCTAAACCCGTTTGAATTCCTAAATCGACGTAAAACTGAAATAGATGGATACAGATTGGGAAATTTAAACGTGTACAGTGTTAGAAAGAGGCCGACACAAATTAAATCAACGTTCACATTTTTCTCATCTAACTAAGAAGTTTAGAGTAAAAAAAATTCACTTAGAAAATAAAAAAGAGAAGCAACTACAAAAGCTGCGAGTCCATTAAGCATATAAAATTTCCTGGTTAAGACAATTCACACAGCCAATGCAAAAGCACCTCAGCACCTTTGTCCCATGAACAATCTAGCATCATGTCATGAGCAACACCTTCAATACAAACAGGTTCAATATCGTAAAACCGCCCTGTTTCCTCTAGCCCTTCACTGTCCTGCAAAACCATAACCCAACTCCGGTTTAATACTGAAACTTTCTGGTTTGGTTAGCAAGCTGAGGGAATTTTTTAGTTCTTACCACTATAAAATCATCTTTGGCACCTAAAACAATAATTTTTGTCGAATTTTCCATTGGTTTTGGTACTGGAAGTGATGCGTTTAGCATCTTGAGATCAAACAGTGGCTTCCGTGAACTCTCTTTCATAAGACCCTGGTAACTGGAATCCAAAAAAGAAGAGAGACAAACAACAATTCATTATTGAAATTTGAATTTTGATACAAAATGACAAGTACTATTAGCAAGTGAGATTTGAACAGAAATAAACTCTCACTCACTCGAAGAAGAAGATCTGCAAATTATGTTCTATTTCTGTCAAGTGTAAATAAAGCTTTACAGTGTGTTTGTGTAAGCCGGTTAACACTAAGCCAAACTATAATATCTAGTAAGTAATGAGCTAGATTATGGGTATACCGCTGCAGAAGTTGATCATCCATGGCTGAAGAGAAGAATGTTTCCCGGCAAAGAGGAATAGATGTCTGAAAACGCTTAGCAGCTAAACTGAGAGTGACCTGCTCAAGAACATAACCAAGAACAAACATTGTTGGAACAAAATAGAAAATGATCATCCTTGCAAGATCAAAGACATGAAAAGAGTTTTACCTTAAAAGCGGCTACGGGTTTAGTGAAGAGATAACGTAACACTAACCCGCTGAACAAGAAAGAGATTCCCGGAAGTTATATATATGAGCTAAACGAAGAAGAAGTTCTCTTATATAGAAAAGAGCCAATAAGTTGTGAGAAGTTACCTATTACCCGAAGGTGGAACTGAGCACAGCAGTACAGCCCCTGAAAGTTCTGGAAATGCATTTGTCTTTCCTGGAATCGAAACCAATTATTTGTTTACGATAATCAAAAACGCAACTCAATTCTACGAATTAGCCTTACCTAACGACTGTTTGTTTACGACATTTGCCAAGTAATATTGAACAATAAGCCCTCCAAAAGAATGGCCAATAAGAACAGGAGGCGAAGAGCTAAGATTTGACTCGATAAAGTCCGCAATATCACTTGCGTGCGTCTACTACATAAACAAGTAAGAATTTAAGGATCAAGTTGAATCAGGTGAGAAATTTATCCAACACAAATGCAATGATTAATCAAAGTTTCAAGTACCTGAAGTGTTCCAGCAACTGTTCCCAAGGGTTCATCACTCTCACCCTGAAGAATTCAAAGATGACACATACCACATATCACTTTCTTTAACCAAACATTTTGGAAATTGATGTTTATGAGTGTATTGGGGGAAATAAAAACGAAGTCTTGACTATAAACAAAGCTTAAAAAAATCCGAATTTTGATCACAATTACGAAACCCTTGTAAACAAAGTCTTGACCATAAACAAAGTATTAATCACAATTACACAACCCTCATGAAACCCAAGATTTAAGCAAATCAATATGTAGCAAATTGGTAAAGACATTTCAAGAATTGAGTTATGTAATTGAGAGAAAAAGAAGAGTTTTATTTACCTGACCTAACAAGCTAATAGCATAAGAATCAAACCCAGAAGAAGAGAAGAAAGGTAACCAATGTTCAGCCCAACACCAAGCTGCGTGATAGCTTCCATGTACAAAAACCAATGGTGGAG